TTTTTTTTTTTTTAAAAAAAAAAAAAAAAAAAAGCTATTCCCAGTGTTCCACAGAAGTAGAAGCCTGTCTTCTTACCACATCCAGCTAGTGGTGAGTTCTCTAGGCTAATTTAGGGGTGAAGGGGAGAGTTGGCTGGGAAGGCCACAGAGCAGAGCAGTCAATCAATTGCTTTGCCCAAGGGCCAGACTCAAAATAAAGGCAAGGAATGTTGAGAGGAAGAGCACCTGGCATAAACCATGCTAGGGGTCCCTCAACTTCTTCAGTGTTTTTGAGCAGTACAGTGAGGGCAGTAACAATCATGTACCAACACAAGCTTTTGTTACTGTCACCTGGTTCCTCTCCCTGGTACAGAGGTTCATCTGATTCTTTCCTTCCTAATCTTCTATCTCCATCAATGACATGGCATTTTCCGCTTATGTGCAACCAATCACCATTCAAGAGAAGCAGAAATGTAACCATCCAGAAGGTGCATTCAGACTGATGATGAAATAAGGCTGGCCACCTTGTACAGGAGCCAGTGCAAAATTAAACACATCAACAGGGCCCAGAAAGCTTTGAGGACCAACCACAAACCCTCTCCTCCTTCAATTTGCAGGTAGGTTTTTCCTTTTTTTTCTTGAACTGATTTTCCCAATTTGGGATAACCAGACAGAAGCTTTTAAATACATGAGTCATTTCAGGGGGCCAGTTGAAACTCGGAGACAATTCAACTTCATATGGGTTTAAATGGGGCCTTATTTTTCATGTATCCGCCTTCGCAGGGCAAAAAGAGAGCTTGGAAGCCTATAGTTTAGCACTTGTCACCAATCCTTTACTAAAGTCAAGGCAATTAGGCCCATGATTGTTAAAATTTTATCTCAATGCTCCTGTCCTGCACAAATCAATCACAGCCACTGCTGAAAAAAAACACAGAATTTTTAAAAATTCTTTAATCCACACCCAAGGAGATGTGTGAGGGCTGCTGAGAAATCATGACAACAGGGACAGCCGGTGGTGTCCAAGGGAGCAGCTGCTTCTGAGACCTGTTTTGGGACAGGGGACAAAACCAACCAGTGGTACTTTTCTCTCCAGATTTCTTTCCATCTTTACATCTGCCGATTCACCACATTTCGGTCCAACAAACTGTTTTTCTCCATTGCGAGGTTTACAGCGAGAGCAAGAGGGACTCAAGACAAGCGAGGGGGCGATGTCTGGGATATGTTGCAACACGTAATGCTGGAAAACGTGTAGCTGTTTACTACCAGCTCCCGGGAGACGCCGAGCGCCGAGCGCAGAAGAGCTCAGCCCCTGGTGCGCGGCCCCGCCTTCCACACAGCCTCCTGCGCGTTCGTTCGGGTGTGGGGGCGACATGCAAGGAGCCCTCCCCAACCCGCCCCGGAGGCTCCTTGTGCGCCGGCCCCCAGGGCATCAGCGAGGTCTCCCTTCGCGCCCCACGCCCACGCTGCGCGCTGCCCGCCCCGGAGTTACCTCGGAGGCCGGGGTTGTCGTCTCTGGCCCGAATCTTTCGGATTTTGACAGGGCGCCCGCTCAGAGTAGACAGGACCAGACGCTGGCGCAAGAAGTTGCAGCCCGCGTAGCTGAGGGAGTGCGCCTGGGTCGCCATGTGCACGCCCTCTGCAACGGCGCGGGCGGCCGGGGCGAGGCGACTTCGGACGGGCGCGGGTATCGCGGCGACGGCGGCGACGGCGACAGCGGCAGTGGCGGCCCGGGCTCCCTCCCGCGGCCCCGCAGCCCCAGGCGCGTCCACGTGGTTTGGAACAGGAAGGGAGAGAGACGATACACCGGGTCAGAGGGGAGTGGGGCGGAGCCGGTGACCGCCTCTCCGCCTCCCGGCCTGGCTGGGGGCGGACCCCGCACCGGGCCACTCCGCTATTGGCTGGTGCAGGATCAGGGCGGTGTCCGGGACGCACCGCTATAGGCCTGTACTGGGGCTAGGCGGTGCCTGGGTCACGCTACCATTGGCCTGCGCTGGAGCTGGGCGGTGCCCGGGCCCCGGCAACAGCGCTTGGGTGGAGGAGCGCGGGACGGGGGAGCGGCCTGGGAGCGGAGGCGATGGAGCACGACTTCCCCACCAGTTTCCGCGGGGTCTTTCCCCGCGTGGGGGCAAGGGGGGGCGATGGACTGGGTTTGAGTTCCTCCTACATGCCCGGTACTTAGCCACACTACTTACAGCAACCTCTGGGATGTGTATGCTATTGGCTCCCCCGCCTTTTTCTTAATAGAAAACAGGATTGGCGCGCTTTACCCTGTTGCAGACACCGTGCTGAGCGCGCAGCCGGCCCTATCCCCTCGCGCCCGCTGTAATCCTGAGAGGTAGTGCCATTCCCGCCCTACACTTGGGAAAGACTCGAGGAACATTGCAAGGCTGGCAGTGGCAGCATGCACAGGAACCAAAGTCTTCCGACACCAGGCCATTACTTATGAGACACCAAGCTTTGCCCTTTTCACATCAGTGGCTTCCCTTTACAGCCACTGTGCTTTTTGCCAAGTCAGATCCTCCCATTTTGCATGCCTCAAATGGATAGTTGTAATAACTTATACACACACACACACACACACACACACACACAGCTCTTCCCTCTTTCCCATCCTCTTCTAGTCTTGCACACCAAAAGCTTCCCAAAGATTGGATTATGTCACTCCTCTGCTCAACAACCTTCAAAGATAACGCAGTTATCTATAAAATGATTACACACTTGGGAGTCCAATACCATAATACGGTTGGTTTGTAGCGATTCTTGGACAATGTCACCAGATTATGAGTTCCAGAACACATGGGGGAAGATGGGGTTCTGGAAGGGGTCAGGGCTTGAGTAAGATTAAAGAAGGTGGCTAGCGTTACGTGGGTAAGACTCAGTTATGAGGAACCACTGGAAGGTCTGAACTCCTATAGGGTGACAGGTTATTAGAGGTGTATGTTGAGTTTAACAGAATCAGCCCTGAAGTTCATTGAGGGAGGTGGGTAATCCATGCACATTATTGCCATTTCTTGAGACTTCTTTTAGGAAGTTGACAGTATTGAAAACTCCAGGACCTCTGAGGGCCTCCCTTGAATCCTGCTGTGGAGGATGCCAAAGCAAGGAGAGGAACCATCACACCAGGAGTGTATGTTTGTATATCATCTCATCTTAATTACTCAACAACCTTAAAAAAACAACTAATATCTTCTGTAGCAACCCCTGTCTGTGCCCTGTTCATATCCCTTCAGCTCTTACTATTTTCAGTGCAAACGTGCTTAATTATCCTCCAACAGCACCTATATCTCTTTGAGCGTTTTTCCCACCTGTATGGAACTCAGCAGGGCAAAGGTGCTGGTGAATTAATGCCCCGCCCCCCCTCCCCCAGAGTCCTCAACCAATGGCTGATGGGAGTTGATGTATAAATATCCCAGCGCCCTTAAACTTTGGGTGAGATAGCTCTGAGACATAGATTCTACAGCGTTTCCCCAGGAACCCCCAGAGATTTTAATCTTCAGTTGCCTACAGCAGGGGTCCCCAACGCCGGTAGCGGTCCGAGACCCATTACGAACAGGGCCGCACAGCAGGAGGTGAGCGGCAGGCGAGCAAGCAAAGCTTCATCTGCCGCTCCGCGCCGCTCGCATTACCGCCTGCACCATCCCCTCTCACCCTCCCCCCTGGAAAAATTGTCTTCCACGAAACCGGTCCCTGGTGCCAAAAAGGTTGGTGACCGCTGGCCTACAGGGGTTACTTGCTTAAGTACCTTTTACTGGCTTCCTTCCTTCCCCGTATCCTTCCTAGCTCCCTTCTGATATTTCGTGGGATTAATTCTCAAATAAACTACTTTCACTCAAATTATTGCCTCAGGGTCTTCTTCTGGGCACCTCCAATATAAGTTCTGATCTTTAATATTTGAGAACTGAGGTTCAGAGAGAATAAATGACTTGTTTAAAGTGACATCACTAATAAATGGCATAACCAGAATAAAAACTTTGTCTGCCTCTCTGTCACTGTCTGTCTGTCTCTGTCATCTCATATCTTTGGAACCCTGAACCTCTAATAAGTCTGGCTACCATGAAGCTGCCATGCCAGAGAGACCACAAAGATTTAGTGCCAGCTGTTCCAGCTGACAGCATCAGCTGCCAGACATGGGAGTGAGGAAGCCTTCAGATGATTCCAGTCCCCAGCCAGCCTCTGACAAGTCTTTGGAGTCACCCTAGCTGACACCATATGGAGCACAGATAAGCTATCCTCACTGAGGCCTGCCCAAATTGAGCTAAATAAATGATTGTTACTATTTTAAGCTATGGGTTCAGGGATAGTTTGTTACACAGTAATGGATAATGAAACTACATATCCCCAAATCCCCTTCCCTGCATAATTCTGGGTTAGCAAACCACAAGAAACATCTTGCATGAGATTCCAAAGGCAAACGTGAAGTCACAGCCACGTTTTTTATGTTTGAAAGGTCACTGCAGGGTACCAGGCTCTCTTGCAGTTCACGTAGTTACCTTGTTGGCATGGAGCAGCAGCCAGTCCCAAAGCTCCTCCAGCTTCCAACTGATCCTACTTAGCAACTCCAATTCCTGGGCCAGCTGTGTATCTACCTCCATGACAAAGGACACCATCTTCTGCTGGTCACTCCCATCACTGGAGTCAGAGGCTTGGAGTCAGTGAGAGACTGATGCAGGTTCCAGCTCATCCTGCTGACTTTGGGCTCTATCACCAGGCGCAAAGACGACAGCCTCATACAGACTGTGAAACCAGCCCTCACCATACCATAAGGTCAGATCCCTACAATAAACCTCTAGTGAGTGGTTCTGCTTTTTTTTTTTTTTTCTTTTGTGGTACACGGGCCTCTCACTGTTGTGGCCTCTCCCATTGTGGAGGACAGGCTCCGGACACGCAGGCTCAGCGGCCAAGGCTCACAGGCCCAGCCGCTCTGCGGCATGTGGGATCTTCCTGGACCAGGGAACGAACCCGTGTCCCCTGCATCGGCAGGCGGACTCTCAACCACTGCGCCACCAGGGAAGCCCGGTTCTCCTTTTTTGATTGAACCCTGACTAGTGCACAAGCCATTACTGAAAGCCTACTGAAATTCAGGCTCTATGCTAAAGGCTTTACACACATGATCTCATTTGGTCCTCACACCAACTACTTCAAAAGTTGGGTTGTAAGTACATAGGGGTTTATAATACAGTTCTCTCTACTTTTGTTTATTTTCAAAATCGTCCATTACAATTTTTTAAATCTGCTCATAGATTTTTCTTTCACACTAAATGATAAATGACATGTACCTTGCTTTGTAATCACTTCCACAAATACTTTCACGTTAATAATGATAAAAGTGTACTTGGCTCAGTAGTGGTTGTGGGGACCAGAGTAGAAACAGATTCTTCCCAGTCCATAAAGAAAGTTACTCAACACCACACTTCTACCCACTCTGCTATCTCATCATCTCCTTTATTCAAATCATAATGGTTCAATGGGCTTCTCACCTCAGCCTGGAACTAATGCTTACACCACTCCAATTTTAGGATGAATGTTTGTGTCCAGTGCTCCTCCTTTGGGCTCCCACAATAACTATTCACAAGTACATTTCTGCATATATGTCGTCCTTTTTTAAATTATTTATTTATTTATTTTTGGCTGCATTGGGTCTTTGTTGCTGCACGTGGACTTTCTCTAGTTGCGGCGAGCCAGGGCTACTCTGTTGCATTGTGCAGGCTTCTCATTGTGCTGGCTTCTCTTGTTGCGGAGCACGGGTTCAATGCACAGGCTTCAGTAGTTGTGGCATGTGGGCTTCAATAGCTGTGGCTTGCGAGCTGTAGAGCGCAGGCTCAGTAGTTGTGGCACATGGGCTTAGTTGCTCTGCGGCATGTGGGATCTTCCCAGACCAGGGCTCGAACCCGTATCACCTGCATTGGCAGGCAGATTCTTAACCACTGTGCCACCAGGGAAGCCCCCATATATATCCCCTTATAACCTCTTGAAACCTGTTTATGTGGCAGCCTACCTAACAATACTTTGTGATCCAGTGAGTGTGAGGACTGTGTCCTATCACTTAAAGCAGAAATCCTCTTATCATTGTATGCCCAGTGCTTAGCACCTAGTAGGCGTTTAATAAGTGTGACTATAATTAATTCTAGTTTAATAAGTGTGACTATAATTAATTAAAACACACATGGCTAGCCTAAATCAATAAACTCAAAGTGTCTAAAACAATGGTTCTCAAACTTTATCATGCATCAGAACTGCCTGGAGGGCTTGTTAAAACATATTGCTGGGCCTCATCCCCAGAGTTTCTTCAGTACATCTGGGGTAGGGCCTGAGATTTTACATTTCTAACAACTTCCCAGGTGATGTTGATGCTTCTGGCCTAAGGATCACACTTTGAGAAGATTAAAAAAAAAGGGGGGGTGGTGGAATTCCCTGCTGGTCCAGTGGTTAGGACTCCACGCTTACACTGCAGGGGGTACAGGTTCGATTCCCTGGTTGGGAACTAAGATCCCACAAGCCATGCAGCACGGCCAAAAAAAAAAAAAAAAAAAAAAGACATATGCTTACATACACAGAATGGGAGTCCCAGAAGGAGAGGAGAGAGAGACAGGGACAGAAAGAATATGTGGCCAAAACTTCCGAAGTT